CAACATGAGGGTGAGTACATTTTTTGGGTGAACTAAACCTTTAAGTATCGGAGTTGCTCAACAATACTGTGTTGTTAGCCTGATCCTGGAATTTACTGTATAATAATAAATGTCACAGAATTTGGAACATTTTTGGATGAAAAGAGCAAAAAGTATAGCTTTACACATAAACCGAATTGCGCTATAGACTAGTGTGTGTGAATATTACAGACTGCTTTAAAAATCTGAAGTCTGTATGTTGTTGCGTGTCTCAGTTTTTGAGCTGTTTTCAGAGTCACTTCACTAGCATTTCACCAGTTCGTTTGGCAAAACTATCGTCATATCATACAGTATCTACACAGCTAAAATAAAATATCTTCACTACAACCTGCTACAATAAAGGTTTGGTTTAAACTTGATGAAAGACATAGCCTATTGCACAGTAGAATTTACTTCTCAGAGTAATAATTAAACAGCAATAATAGTATATTGAAAACATTATTTAAGAAATATCACTATTATTTTTATTTAAATAGTAAACATGAGTCTGTTGTGAGGCACTTTATTTGCCAAAAAAATCAAAATATTTAATTTCATTATATTTTAAAGAATGATAACCTTGTTAAAGTTCATCTTTCAATTTGAACAAAACTGTAAAACAGGGAATCCAGGAAAAATGAAAATTGCCAACACAGATACAGATAAATTTGCACAGAGGAACATCTAATAATACCAATATATTCACTTTGGGAAAAACAAACATTCTTTATGTAATTATAGAAGAAATGACACATGGACCAGAGAGGTGCAGGATGCCTCAGTTAGCTGAAATAATTATGGCATCTAATTATGGACAATGTTTCATATGTCATGCTCAAACACACAGACCTTAAATTGGCACAGTTCCTTTTCTGCTTTCAAGTTCCACATTCACATGCAGTCAAGCATAGCAATAGCATTTGATGTTTTAAGTGAGAAAGACTAGTGTTTTTACAATATATAATAATAATAATAAATCAAGACGTGACTTCACTAATCACATAAATAGGCCTACACTGTTGTCCGGTTGTAAACTGCAACCAATGGTTAAAAAATCTCAAGTGGCATATGTGGTATAAAAAATGAAATATTATTTTCTCTTATTTACTCTGCTGAAGGAAACAACAAGATACAACCATATAGGCCAGTATGATGGTACCCCTGGTACTTGTGTTGGTGGGAAGGAGAGAGACCTAACCTGATGGAGGACAGATCAATTCCTCAATGTTTCATGATGGTATGAAAAGAGGGAATTAGTAGTAGAAGAGTTTAAAGTTTAAAGAGAGTAAGTCAGTTCCCAGTTCTCCTTAGTGATATGGCACATAGACTTAAAGGGTTAGTTCACTCAAAAATGAAAATTAAGTCATTAATTACTCACCCCCATGCTGTACCAACCCCGTAAGACCTTCGTTCGTCTTCGGAACACAAATGAAGATATTTTTGATTACATTTGAGAGCTGTATAACTACCACATTGGCTCCTAAGGGACTGCCTCTTGACGGCCCAAAAAGTCAATGAAGAAAATAAGAAAAGAAATAGTCGAATAAACTCGTTATTTTTGTTTGTTTTTTCGCACAAAAAGTATTCGCGTCGCTTGATAAACATATAGTTGAGCCACGGTAGTCACTTGGGATATTTAAACATTTTCTTCATTGACTTTTTGGGCCGTCAAGAGGCAGTCCCTTAGGAGCCAATGTGGTAGTTATACAGCTCTCAAATGTAATCAAAAATATCTTCATTTGTGTTCCGAAGACGAACGAAGGTCTTACGGGGTTGGTACAGCATGGGGGTGAGTAATTAATGACTTAATTTTCATTTTTGGGTGAACTAACCCTTTAAGGCCTGTTCACACCAAGGACGATAACTATAAAGATATAGTTCTAAAAATTGTTCTCAAAAGCAGAGTTCACACCACAGCTATAATGCTAACAGCACAGAGAAACGATATTGTTGGAATCACTTTCAAAACAATTCTATCCAGCTGATGAATGATAAAAAACACTGACTGCCAATCAGAATCCATCATGCTGTAACGAGCTCGAGCATTTAAAGTGGCAGACAAGCACGCTCTTAAAATAAACCGTACAATAGGATTTATTGCAGGATCGTTGCAGGATCGTTGCCTGCACTAGTAAAAAAAATCTACCAAAACCATTTGAAGGTAATCATTTAATTGAAGTTCAACAAATAAAAAACAAATATATTACAGATGGACAAATGATAAAGCTCGGTTTGCTGAAATGATCCCAGATCATAATCTAGATGTGCTGTTTTTAACAAAAACCTGGCTAAAACCAGAAGATTACATTACTTTAAATGAATCCACCCCCCAAGATTATTGTTGTCATCACGTCTGAAAGGCAATGGGGAGGTGTTGCTACAATTTATAGTAATATTTTCATTTTTTCTCAAAGGTCTGGTTTCAGGTGTAACACCGTGTCCTAACTACACGCGACGCGATAAAATTCCAGCGACAGCAAGTGTGTCTGTCCACACTAGACGCGACGCGGCTGTGACACGCCACACATCAGAACAGCGTGTGAGCGAAGTGTCTCTGTGAAAGCGCACTGCTGGCCCGCACTCGCATTGGAAATGGGTAAGGACATAATCAAATCAAGAAATAACATTATTAAAAATCAAAACATTGACAAAATATAGCCTACTCATTGACTAATATTGTTATGAAGTAGCCTACAGTTGTCTGTTTGTATAGAACTCATTTTGAACGCTATATTATATGCTTTCAAAATCTAAGGTAAATTATCAGTTATCGCTTGTGGCACAGTGACCTATTTTTAACTAAAAATAAATAATGTATATATACTCATAACCAGTGTAATTTCTTCATTCTGTCAGCCGCGACGTCGCAGAAATAGGAACCGTTTCTAAAGCCCCGTTCACACTACACACGACCAAGCGACGCGATACAATTCATTATCAATGGTGAGCGGGCGACTTCCGGCGACACGCGCGACAGCGATCGTTAGCGACCGGTGGGGCGTGTCCAGCGACGCGATTAAGTTGAGAAATGTTTAACTTTATGCAAATGAAGGGCGATTTTCACGAGCGACAACCAATAGGAGTGAAGTCAGTGGAGCGCGTCACTCTTCAGTGCGGAGTCTGACCAAGGAAAGTTGAACGAGAAGCTAATTTTATCAGTCAGAAACTGTCCTATAATGGATGATATTGAGAATGAGGAGTTGACGTCATTTTACAGTGCCCCTCCCCTTTCCGCCATGTTGGTAGGTTTCCCACGACAAAACAGTATTGATTACGTGTGTTTTTAGCTCGGTAGTAGAGGAGTTTCTCGCAACCGCACTGTTTTACCATGCCTGGAAGTAACTGCTGCGTT